CTGGGACCACCCTGTACTGGACCAAAAGTCAGCTTCTTTGGGACATCAGGCGTTAGACCATGCAGAAAGCATGTGGCTGGAGGGTGTGGCCATCAGCCCAAATGTGAGTTAGCACCCATTTAGTGGCCGTCACGGTGGGTAAGGCTGTCCCATTTGGGGAAAAAGCAGTGAAGGGCTGCCAGCTTGATGGAGCACTGATAACCTGCACAAGTCTGGTGTGAGCTGTGTCCCCAAGTCTGTGACCCCTCCCAGGGTTGAGACTGTTTCCACTTTGCTACCTCAGGTTGTCCTCATTATGACCATTTTCTTTGAAGGTTGGAAAGCAAAGTTGATGTTCAATCTACCTACTTCTCTCCAACTGGAGCCCTCCACACAGATCCCACCATCATCCTCTTTTGGGGGGTGCACACCTCGAAGGGCAGGAGCTGTGCTGAATTTCACTCTTGTGCCTTTGCTTAGCTGAGCCAGTTTCTGTCTGCAGGGGTGCACATCTGAATACAAATGTGCAGAGCAAGTATACAAGGCAGGTTTGTGAGCACAGGCCTGATTGGTTGTTTGCTTTTCCTGAAGATTTTCTGGACTCTTCCCTTCCTGTGACCATTATCCTGAGTGGTCATAAGCTCCATAAAGCTAAGTCTCCCCTAATGTCCATTCTCTCCTGCCAAGCACTAATTGGGCATAAAGCCCAAACCCCAGAAACTACATTTCCCAATCTTCCTTGAGGCTAGGGAAGTCAAGTAGCCCATGTGACGAAATTTGGGCCAATGAGGTGTGAGTGGAAGTGCCCTGTGCAACTTCTGGGTCATCGCTTTGAAGACCTGCATTCCCCTTTGTCACCTTCTCACTTGTTGGAAAACGGGAACCATGGAGGAGACACCTTGGATGTCCACATTGAGCATGGCAGCACCACCTGGCCAGCCTGGGGCTTTGGGGGGTGTTGGAGGGTGGGGTTGTTTACCCTTTCCAGATACCACTCACTTTCGTGAAGGCAAGAAACTATCTCATCCAAACCACTGCGTTTTTGAGTCTCTTTGCTATGATAGCACTGAGTTAGTGCTAACTCCAGTTAGCACCCATGTCACCCTGCCCTGCAGAATAAGGCAGACAACACCCCCAGGGAACCTTTGGAGCTGTCTCCTAGTCTGATGGTAACAGCGACTCCTGTGAGTCAGGGTGGGCACATGGCAGTCATCACACAGAGGCCCAGAGAGGACGAGGTTTTACCAAGGTCACAGATACAGAATGGAGCCACGATCCAAGGCACTTTGCCTGCCCGCGCAGCGCTCGCCGAGTGCGCCAGGCTATTGCCTGGAACACTCTGAATCAAGACCATAATGTTGTTATTAAAATATTTACTTGCATGAAAAATTTCTATTACCTGAAACTCATGTATTATAGATGGAATCAGTAGCTTAGAAGGAAATAAACAAGAAGAATCACTTTAATAACAAAAGCTATGCAGATAAATTCCTCATTTCAGCAAGCTCTTGGCGGTCCCAAATAAATATATCATTTTTATCAGGCAAGTGCTCTAGAAACAGCGTCTTCAGGAAATATGTCAAAATAATCTCTCTGTGCTCCTTTCTGGAGGAAAGAAATACGATGGCGACAGCAAAAAGAACAATTAAGAGAGCCTCCTTACGATAACGCAAAGTGTCATCAGGAAGGGGACTGAGGGGGCCGCAGTGATGATGTCCAGGTTTCCTGCCAGCCTTCCTGGGGCACAGCCCAGGCCGCACCGGGCTGGTGTCAGAGGTCAGGACCATACACACTCTTGCTAGGCTGTGTGCATTCGGCACCTGGCTCGCCCTCGCTCAGCTTCCCTGGCTGACATCCTAGATGTTTAGGGATGCAAATTTCTTATCAAAAGTTGAGTGTTGCTCACTAATGAGGTTGAGCACGCATAGTGCTGTCACTACTGTTACTGTGCAAGTCACGATGAGGGTGTAAAGGAAAAGGCTGCCAGAGAACAGGAATTGCATAACCCTTGGCTGGGGAGTGGAGTCACCTGCACACCCCGATTCATGCCTCTTTCCCATAAATGCCACCCACCCAGGAGTCCTTAGCCAATTCCTGGTCCATCTCAACCCCTCTCCTGTCTTGGAGAGTCAGCCTGGAGCCCTGGAATGTCTGCATCCTTGATTCCCGGTTGTCCCTGTGCCATCTCTTTTCCTGCACCCTCACCAGCACTGCCTTGGCTGGGGGCCCCAGGGTTTCTGGGGGCTTCCTCAGTAGGCATACAGAGCCCCCAGACTTGCTACCATTCTGAACTTCCCCAAGGGCCACTTATGCCCCGCTTCTACTCCAAAAACTCCCACTGCTGCTGACTTCTTCACTTCGACAGTTCCAGTCCTTTGTACCACTCCAGCCCAAGCTGCCCAGCGCGGTGAAATGACTCAGCATTCCCCAAACGTGCCATCTCTATGCTCCCACATGCGCTCTTGCTGGGGTCTGTCTGCAATCACCTTTCTCTTTTGGGGCAACAGCATGTCCTCTGAGGTCCAGTGCAGGGTCTCCTGCGCATGAGCCTTTCTGGACCATCAGGGCCAGAGGCAAAGTCTCTCCGTCTTCTGCCTCCCAGACTCCCACCCACACCTGTGTGACTCGGGACTCGCACTCCCAGGCACAGACCCCAGTTGTCTGCCCTTACTTTGAGGCAGGAAGGGGGCAGAAGGAACACAGCGCCCCCTGGTGGTCCCGCTCCTGAAGTGCAGCAGCCCCGCCCGCTAGGGAAGCTTGGACTCTGACCACGGTCTCCAAGCTTAGGGAGGGCTGGGAGCAGGCGCAAGAGGCCTGGATTCCAGGAAAGGTGAACATGCCCCTCCGCTTTGGCAGTAGTCTGATATCGCCAGCCCAAACCAAGAAGCAAATTTCCCCCTTTTCCTGTATGTTGCAATACCTTTGAAACCCTGATTTAGGTTACAGCTCATCCCCATAGCAACCCCCATTCCTCACCGAGGGTCTCTATCTGGAAAGGAAGGAAAAGAGTTTCATTTGGAATCCTCTCTGGTGTGCTAATGTTCTAGCAGGCTCCTGGCATTTCTGAAGATGCAACATGTGATGATTAGCTGTCAACTGATCTTCATGTGTCTGCACATGCGTCCTCCACCCACACTTTGCCACAAAGTATTTTGAGTATCTAAACTCTAACCACATTAAAGATCCCGATCCCCAGAGGAGGCTCTAAGTGTGCAGAATGTCCCCAAGGTGGCTTTATCTTCAAGTTAGAAAATGCCCACTGTATGAACTCTGAGAATCAAAACGGGTTCTCTGGACTTTGATGCTGATGCTCCTTGCATAACATCTCCTTGTGTGTGTGTGTGTGTGTGTGCGCACACACACGCACACACATATACACAGACTATGCATATAGACAAGCATGATTGTGCCTGTCTGTGCACACATGTGCAAGTGTGTGGACTTGCATGTGTAAGAAGTTAGTGCTTTTAAGCCAAGAGCCACACAGACTGAGCTTATTTCCCTTGATAATGCCTGTAGACTTCAAAAACTAGCCTGCCAAAGGTAGAAGGAATTTTCCAGTCATTTCTCTGAACTCATGTACTTGACAGAGAAGCGAGACTTGGAAATCACCATCAGTTCCTCTATCAGATGTGCCCAACAAAATTGTTCCACCAACACAATGATTGTGCTGTGCATAATACACCAGTAATTAACCTTGTAGACTTACTTTTGAACAGCCCTCATCTATATTTTACAATTAATTAGGGGGATCCACAAGGGATTGACTCTGAAGATGATAATTACGCCTCTTCCTGGGGTTTTAGGGAGCTTCGCTAGTCAAGAAGCATCTTATTTTCCCCGGAAAATTAAACCAGCACTCCATTATCAGATAGTTTCTAAATGAAAAAAGGTCTGGATTTTGACATCATGGTCTCATTTCAGCAAGAAAGAGACAAACTGACAAGCTGTTTTGTCACATGCTTGTTTGAGCACAACATTTTGAGAAATATCTCTGGGTCGATTTGGGAAGAGGAGCTGGTGGGTAGGAAAAATGTCCAAGATGACCAAATGTGATGGGGCTATTTGCCAAGTAATCACCCCACGCCTGAGCCTGGGGATGGAGGACGTGCATTTTCATTTTCTGCTCCAGCCAGAGTGGGGCTTGCTCAGGGCGGGGAACCAGAGTTCATCTGGTGAAATATGATGATCATTCACCACGGCTAGAGATGTTAGTGTGTATAATGACATGGACTCAACCAATTCTGTCTAATAAAATTGTACTCATCAGTAGCAGCCTCTCTTGGGCTGGCCTTCCAGCTCAGTTTCTGCCATCCCCTGAAGCATATGACTCAGTGGTCTCCAGCGGTCTTGCTGCCCTGGCCAGAGTGGATTGGTCCAGAAGAGCACATTTGACTTGAGCTGGGTTGGTCAGTTTCTCTCCCTCAGAAATCAGTACTTGTGAACCATGGCACTGGGCAACCTTGTCTTTGAATGATACATGGTACTGATAGTTCCAGTGATGGGCCCCCTATCGGTAAAATGAGGTGTGAAAGCATTGAGCTAGATATTTGAAGCTAGATATTTTTGGTTTGAATCTTGGCTCTGATTTCTGGGTACATTTCCACCCTTGTGATCTTGAGCATGCAACTTAAGCTCTCTGACTTTGGTTTTCTCACTTGGAACATAGAAATTCAGTAAAGAAAAAAAATGTTACTTGAAACAACTGTCATAATGTTACTCCTGCTGGTTGTGAATTTCTCTCCAGGGTGAATAGATTTTGGCTAAAAAATATCGATGAAGGCCTTGGTTTTAAAAACATAGGTGTGAGGCAATGATGGGACATTCATAGCCCAAGAGAAAGAGAATTACTTTGTTCTGTGTAACAGGGGAAGGATTGTAATGTCTAGAAGGGGTAGGTTTAGGGAAGGAGGAGGGTCCTGGAGAGAAAGAGGGAAGAGAGAGCCAGATGGGGCAATCTGGGAATTCTGGAGATCGTTTTTCAAGTTTCCTTCTTTAATGCTGCTCTTACAGGACCCAGAAGCCAGAAGCCAGCAGGAACTGGCAAGCAGCTTCACTTTTGATTTATCCATCCTTTTCTCTCAAGAGCACCGCCAGGGATTCTGCTTTGGGCTTTTGCTTGAGCATCACGGTTCTTGAGCATCACAGTTCTTGGCAGCAGGCCACATTTAGCCCCTTTATCATAAAGAACTGAAGTTTAGACCTAAGGTGAGTTTCCTGTGTGGTTGGACCTCCAAACATTCCTGGTAAAAGAACATTCCAGACTCCATTGGGAGTCCTTCCTTCCAGGGAACAGGACTTATTCTACAATCTGTAACTCAAGGATTCTCAAGTTTCCACAGCAGCAGATGCATTCAGGGTCAAGACCCCTAAGGGATCCCTAAGTTCTACCCCACAGCAGCTGCCTTTATCCCCTGCTCCCTAATCCTCTGCCAGATAACTTCCTTAATTTTTCCCCAAACTCACAAAGCTAGAAAGAAATCTTTCAAATTCTTTCCCTTTCCCAGATGTCCATCTTCTTGCTCCAATCCTGAGAATGTGTTCTGGGCATATGGCATAACTGCCACCCAAGGTCTGCCTCCTGGATCACTCCCTGTTTCGTGACTTACTCCCTGTAATCCAGGGCACACCCTCAACTAATTTTCTGAGAAATGGTACTTGGGAGGTAAATCTTCTGGGTCCCTGAATATTTGAAGATGCCTTCATACACTGCAGGTATTTGATAGATACATTTGCTGAGTGTGAATTTTAGGATAAAAATTATTTCCCATCAGCCTTTGATGGCATTTTTTTCATTGTCCTCTGGCATTTAGTGATGCTGGTGGAAAGTTCCTGATGCCAGGTTGATGTTTTTCTTCTGTGGGCGAACTTTTGTTTCTCTCTTTCTGGAAGCTTCCTCCACAGAACAAAGGTCTGCAGCAAGTTAGATAGTAAATATTTTAGACATTGTGGATCATATGTTTTCTGTTGTAACTGCTTAATTATGTTTAGCATGAAAGCAAACACAGGTAATACCTAAACAAATGTGCATGGCTATGTGCCAATAAAACTTTATTTACAAAAACAAATGGTGATCAGATATGGAATATGAACTGTAGTTTGCTAACTTCTGCCTTTTAAGGTTAAAGGCATTCTTTTTATCTTTGACATTTTGGAATTTCCCAGCTGTCTATAGATTGTTCTTTTATTCACTGATTTTGCTTGAACACCTTGTGAGCCTTTCCATATTTATATTCTTTAGGTTTGATAAATGCCTTAGCTGTCTTAAAAATTTATTTTTCTCTCTCTATTTTCTGTGAGTCTCGCTAGTTATGCAATATCTGTTAGACTTCCTATGTTTCTTTATCATGCCTCTTGTTTTTTCTCTCCTCTTTTCTGTCCTTTTCTTTTTGTTATATTTTCTGAGTTGATGGATTTGACATTTTTTTGAAATAGCCCTTACATATTTTTAAAATATGTTGGCCCTATATTTTTAATTTCCAAGAGTTTCTTTTTGTTCTTTGATTGTTTTATAGAATGATTTTATTTTACAGTAGATGTAATATTTTCTGATTTTCCTCAAAGCTACTAATTAGAGTTTTAAAAAATATATTTTATTTTCTGAATTATTTCTAATCCCTTAAGGGTCAGTTTTCCTCTTTAATATTGTTAATTGATTGATCTTTTACACTAAAGCATTTTTTCTTGAGTAACTGGTGTTGGGGTTGACAATTTATCTTTAGAGAACTTGTATTTATCTTCAAAACAAGCTATATATATATAATGATTAAAGGAATAATATATTAGGAGACACTATTAATACATATGCATCAAATGAAGGAGCATCAAAATATATAAAATAACTATTAAGAAAACTAAAACAGATATTGACAGCAACACAATTATAGTAGGGAAATCAACACCCCACTTATATCAAGGGACGGAAAGAAAATTGACCAGGAAACAACAACTTTAAATGAGAAATTAGACCAGATGGACTTAGTAGACATTTATAGGACACTCCAAGCAAGTACACGTGGAGCATTATTGAGGATAGACTACATGTTGTCACAAACTCAGTGTCAAGATATTCAATAAGGGCCTCCCTGGTGGCACAACAGGTTGAGCACAGCACTGTGAAGCAGTCTTCAAGCTTTGCAGTGGTGGTTCGATTCCTGGCAGGCCAGGGAGATTCCCACATGGTGTGGCAGACCTCTCCTGTCACACCCGCTGCTCCCCTCAGCAGTATATTTCAGTCAGTCTGCCTGTTCTGCTCCCCACTCTGTCTCTGGTGAATCCTTTCACCTTCCTGCACTTCTGGCCTGTACCCCAGCTCTTGTATAAAAATAAATAAATATTAAAAAAAAATTCAAGAAGATTGAAATTATATCATATATCATCTCTGATCACAATGACATCAAAGTAGCAATCAGCCACAAAAAGAAAATAAGGAAAACCTCAAATATGTGGAGACTATTAGGTCATCAATGGCATTTCACTTTCCTTTTTACTTTCTTTCTTGGGGTAAGACAGCTGCCATGTCATGAGGACACTCAAGCAGCCTGCGGTGAAGTCTGGATGGTGAGGAATTGAGACCTCTAGCTTGCAACCATGTGAGGAAGTCATCTTGGAAGCAGATCCTCCAGCTCCATCAAGGCTTCAGATGATGCAGCCCTGGGTGACATCTTTCCTGTAATCTTGTGGGAGTCCCCAGCCAGAACCACTCAGCCAAACTATCTTGAATTTTTAATGTACAGAAATGAAAGGTAATATATACCTTTAAATATTTATTGCTCTGGATGGGTCAATTTTGGGGAAATGTCATGTCATAATAGATAACTAATAAACAGGCCTCCAGTATTTTACATAGGCGTATGTACCTGGCTGCGAAGTTTTAGCTCAATGCGGGGTGGGGGGGGTGTCAGTTTCAGTACATTGATAATCTACTCAGTCTTCCTGGCTTGAGCTCCATATCTCATTTCCATTTACATGTGGAATTTCTGAGTCTTGCCTACAGAGCTCTGGAGAGCAGACGCTTCCTGTGCTGTGGCCATTTCTCTGGATGCTGTCAGAGTGGTGTCCTGTTAGGCCACATCTATCCACTTTGCGGCTTCTAGAAATTTATTTCTATCTCTTGTCTTTTTGATGGCACTCCTTTTGTTTTCATTATCAGTGTGGATTTATACCATTTGTAGGTCTTTTACTTTGATTTAAATGCCATCTCAGTTGAGAGGGGAAATGAACCCCTATGATGAATCTATAGTATTTGATCTTATGTTTCAAGAATAGTCAAAGGTCTAAAACTGGAAACATTTCAAGAAGAAACATGCAGAAGTCAAGATGATAAGGCTTTTGGTTAATTTTCACATCACAAAGAGCTGACAAGCAAACCACGAATTATGTATTTTTCATCTCTAACCTCAGAGTTTATAGGTCTCAATAAAAGAGCTGGCCCTGATTACCTCAGAAATCAAGTCGATATGTAATTGTGGAGCATATTTTGCTTTTTATTTCATTCCCACAAGTCAAGTTCATCAGCTACTTCCATGTGGCAAAAATTTGATGAAGGCTAGGATCCTTAATGAACAAATAATTAGTTTTAAGAACATAAGTCGACTCAAAAGCACAACTAATGCCTTTTTAATTGCTTTTGCTCTCACATCTTTAGCAAACACATATCCACACATCTCATGGAATCACAGTTATCTGTACCTGCAACACTTGTGTTCTGGGGAACTGGAGGCCCCAGTCTTAGTCAGGGACACTGCAGGACAAAGGCCTGAGGCTTTTTGGTTAGTCATTTGCTAATCCTCAGGCTACCTCTAGAATTCTAGGTACAGGAAATCTGATCCATGGACTCTTGAAATAGTTATAAAAGTGGGGTCCCCTGGACAGAGTTTCAGAATACCAAGGACACACACAAAGACCCAGAGTTTTGAAGGGGCATACTTGTGGGCAGGGCATGGGTGATGAACACAGTGAGGGAGAATTAGAAATATCTTTGTTATTCCTTAGTTAAAAACAGAACCCTTTATTTCAGTTTCCAAATGGAGTTGCTGACTATATGGAAAAATATTCATTTTTATTTTTAGGTGTAAAGGTTTTGTTCTTGTGGGGTGATATGGACAGTGAGCAAATAATAAAAAAATTCTATAATTTGATAAGTATATAAAGTAAATGGATAGGGTACTGTGACAGAGAATAATGAAGGAGGTCTTTTTTGGGGAGTATGGTTGGGGGTCTGGAAATTGTACATGAAAGGATCAAGAATGTGTTCTAAGGGATGGGGTTATCGGGTAGGGGGAGGAACATCACTTTCTATCTTTCTAAATGATCTCAGTTTTTTCTTTTAAGAATATTACCTTTATAATGAAAATATTAAAAGATATTTCCATTTTGGAGGAGAAGAGAGAATATCTTGTACCCAAACCTGTTGTCTTCCTTATCTTACTTTTATTTGCTTACTCACTCGGGTAACAAACATTTCTAATGCACCTGTTTGATATCTGCCCTGGGCTGGACTATCAATGGGGAGACTGAAAAAACCAGTTTCTGGCCTTGAGAGTCTTGGAGTCCAGAGACGGGCCCAATAAATGCCTGGTCCAGAGTGGTTGTCCATAACTACTGGTGGAATGAATGGATGACTGGACCATCTTATACATAAAGGGACTACTTGTTCCCCTGCTCCTCCCACTTATCGTAATATGATAGTTCAGGCCTCATGTCAGTGCAAACAGCCACAAACACCTTGAAGACAACAACTTTTGTTTATCTTAATCACCCATGTGTCCTCAGAATCTAGAACTCAATAAATACTTGTTACCTAAATGAATGCATTCACACACCTCCACTGTAGGTCATTATAGGGTTAAGCTTATTCTCATGTGTTCCTGCTGAGACTTTGGGCCTGTCATTTTCAGTTCTATGATGAAGATAATAACATATATCCCATAGAGTTTACACAAGGATGGACTAAAATAAAGCCTTTAAATGCTCTGCTGTTATCTGGGACAGCATATAAATGAGAGTGATAGTCATTTAGTTTGTTTTCAGCTTTTCCCCTTCTGGTAAATAATATGTACCTACTTTTCCAATTATTTCCTTCAATCAGTTTGTATGCATGGAGCTGTTGGGTCAGAAAAGGCGTGTGTTTCAATTCTGATAGAGAGCAACATGCCGTACTTTGGAAAGTGGGTGCCATTTACAACCATACCAACACAGCATTATCATCTTTTCCAATCTGGTGAGTACCAATGACTTCATTTCATCCTGCTATTGTGCATGCCTTTGATCTTTAGAGGGGTTAAACATCTCTTCATCTGTATAACCTGGTGACAGCCAAGGTCCCGTGACCTAGCATGGGGGTGCTTAATCAGAGAAGTACAGACAAGTAGCCCAGAGTAATTAAAAAGGAATCAAGCTGTACCATGTCTCTCAAAGAATGTAAAAGGGGTTCTAATTAATAACTTCAAAAGACTCTTCTGGAAAGTTATTTTCTTTCTTCCCCAACTCTCTTATCCCTGCAGACAGAAGTGATTCTAGAGACCTGGAAGCAGGTAACATCTCCAGTTAATGAGCCATGTCTTGGCCACACTTAGCTCATTTTTTCATGCAGTGTCAGTTCATATCTTTGGTTTATTCCTACTGTGACCTTTGTATTTTTTTTTTTTTCTGGATTTACCCAAAGGACCTTACAAATCTGCTTGGAGTAGAACATGTATGAGCTTTCCTTGTAGCAGATGGATGACAGCTCCTTATCCTTGGGGTGCATCTTCCATTGAGGGATGTCAGCAATGCTGGGGGCTCTGAAAGAGTCTGAGATTTATAGTTCTTTCCCTTTCTGACTCTTCCCTACATCCAACCCAGCTCTCAGCACCGAGGGGTGTCTGTGTATGGATAGTAGTGGAGTTACCATGGAGACCTAAGCTACATTAAATCATGATAGTGAGTTGTGACCAGCATTTTAAAAAAATATAAAAGAGACTAGATAAGAATAGAAAATATCAGGATGCATCACAAATGCTAAGTATTTTTGATGAAACATGTCTTTATGCATATATGGGGTTGAACAGTTGATATATTTCTTACTTTAGGTGCCATAGAAATAAATGAAATCCAGCTAATCGAGGTTACTAGCATTAGGCTAACAGTTTGGGGGCTCTGATTACTTCAGTCATCTTTCTTGAGATGCCATACTTCCCTCTCTCTAGTCTTACGGCCATACAAGTAGCCTGTTTCAGCCAATCCCCTCTTTCTCCTTACCCAGAGCTGACCATGTCAGGAGACTTGTTGGGGTGACCACCATCAGCTGTCACAGCTCCAGCCCATGCAGGCACTTCCCCGGCCTCTGGTGGGATGCCACCGCCTGCTCATACCCTTTGCTCCAGATCCCTCTTGTTTTGAACTTAGAGATTCTCCTGGACTTCTGAGAAAACTTCCAATCTAGTTCTCAGATGGGCCCAATGTTTTCTTGTGTGAATCATGAGGCATTTATCCTTCTTTTTATTACTGATCACGTTCCCCCTTCTTCCATCCCCAGAGGAGGATAGTTGTCATTCACAGGTAGTCATTTATATTCGTGTCTAATGCCATCATTGTTCTGTGTTGTAAGGTTCTGCCATAGACTGAATATGCATTTCCCCGCAAAGTTCATAGTTTGAAACCTGATCACCAATGTGGTGGCACTGGGAAGGGTGCCTTTGGGAGGTGACTCGGTCATAAGGCAGAGTCCTCATGAATGGAGTTAGTGCCCTTCTAGGAGAGACCCTGGGGAGCTTCCTCACCATTGGGTCATCTGAGGACACAATGAGAAGAAAGTCACTTCTCTCATTGAACCCTAAGTCTGTCAGGGCCTTGATCTTGAACTCCCCGACCTCTAGAACTGTGAGAAATAAAGTTCTGTTGTTTATAAGTCATATAGTTTATGGTACTTTTGTTTAAGCAGCCTAGGTTGACTTAAATGGGCTATTTTTCTTTCTTTCTTTTTTTTTTTAGTCATTTTAATGCAGTTTTGGGTAAAAATCTTAGGTTGAAAGTAGAAATGACATTTTTAAAAAGTTTGAGATAAAAGTCATCTATTCTAAAAGTAACCATTTTAAAATGAACTGTTTAGTGGCATTTAGCGAATTGACATGGTTGCTCAAAACCACTCTATCTAGTTCCTAAATATTTTCACTACCCTAAAAAAAATGTTGTAACCATTGACAAGTTGCTCCCCATTCCTTTCTCCCCCAGGTCCCAATAACTACTAATTTTTCATATAAATGGAATTATATAATACACGACCTTTTGTGACTGGCTCCTTTCACTTAGCATAACGTTTCTGACATTCATCCACATTGCATCATATGTTGCTTTTTATGGCCTAGTGCTATTCCATTTCTGTACATGCCACACTATTATCTATCTGCCCATGGGTGGACATTTGTGCTGTTTCCACCTTGGTTACTGTGAGTAGCACTGCTCTGAACACGTGAATGCAGTGTTTGTGTTAGCACCGTTTTCCAGTTCTTTTGGGTATAGACCTAGGGGTGAAATTGCTAGGTCATATGGTAATTCCATGTTTAACTTTTAAGGAACCATAAGGCTATTTTCCACAGAGGCTGAGCCATTTTGTATTCCCACTAGCAATGTTTGAGGGCTCCAATTTCTCCATGTCTCCCTAGTCCATTTTAAAAGTTATCTTTATGATGCTGAGTTGTGAGCATTCTTTATATATTCTGAATACTACATTTGACTCTGAATTTTGCATTTTTTGATGTCTCTGTCTAGCTGTATATGGGAAAGGTGATCTTTCCCTGGACTGATTTGGAGCTGAACGGTGAAACCTGAATGAGGGTAAAGCCAGAAAAATCTCTTAAAAGGCACCGTCCAGTTTTCTGTCCTTGGTTCTTCTAGTTCACATTTTTATTAATGATTCAAGGGTTTATCATTCAGGTAATACCAAGTTTCTGCTTATGGGCTGGGAACATTGATGAGTGCCTATGTAGAAATTTCCAGAATTGGTTTTGTGAGAAACATAACCTTAGAGACTTAAAGTCTTTGCAACCTGCGACCCTCAAATGTACAATGTGCACAGAGATGAGAGGCACCCAATGTAGGATGGTGTCTTCATTTAGAAAAGGGGACTCACTATTATAAGGGATTCTGTAGGAAGATCAGAAGCGGGGGAGGTAGCATGCTCCTCCTCAGGAAGCCAGGGGGGCATTCCGTGCGGCATCTAGAAGGCTTCAACTGTGGACAAGACACTACGCTCTATGGACTTTATAGAATGCTGGGATCACTTTTATTTCCCTATATTCATTGCTGTTATTTTCCCTCCATTTCCTCTCAGTGATCATTAAAAAATCTCTTAAATTCAAAGGACCCATGTTTGTCTTTGCGGGATAGCATGAAAAGGGGTAGCTGTTGAGCCAGATCCCAGGCCATGATAAAGCTGAAAGAGAACCTGAAGGATACAGTAGGGGACAGTGTTTGGTTCCTTATTATTATTGATAGAAGTCAGGTTCCAAGACACCTTAGGTGGATTTGAACAATGGGCTGAAATTTAAAAAGAAAAGCAAAAGTCTAAGGGATGAGCAGAAGATATGAACTCCTATACTTGGGTCTTAAAACACAGCTGAAGACATAAGTGATAAGGGAGAACACTTAAGCGAGTAAGGCTTGAAACACTTCCCAGCAGGAGGGCTCAGGGGTTTGCTCGCTAGGTAGGATGACAAGGCTGACTGACAGCATCTGAATGTAATGGAGAAGCAGGTTATCCCGATTAGGGGAGACCATGAGCCTAGTCCTTGCTTGAACTTGAGTTGTACATCCACTGTGTGAAGAGTTTTGTTAGACATAGGTCACTAGAGAGGTTACAGAGCAGGGTGACCAGGACAGCAAGAGCCTGGGAGTCACGTCTTGTGAGAGGTGATTGAAAACATCATTTTGTTTGGAAAGGAGAATAGTGTGGGGGAGCACACGGTCATTGGCGTCGCCTACATCGAGGGCTGTCAAGAAGCTGGTGTGGTTTCCCATTGCTGCTGAATAGGTGACCACAAACCTAGTAGCTGTTAACAACATAAAATTAATCTTGTTCTGGAGGTCAGAAGGCTTTCTGGACTGGAATCAGTTTTCAGCTGAGCTGCGTTCCTTCTGGAGGTTCTGCGGGAGAATCTGTTCTGTGCCTTCCAGTTTCTAGAGGCATTCCTTAGGCCCTGGCCCTCTTCCATCTGCAAAGCCCCTGCTTCCATCTACACATCTCTTACTCACCTGCCTCTTTCTTTCCCTGGTGATGATGCTGGGCATTGCTGGGCAATCCAAATCATCTCTCCATCGCCTTAATTTAATCACGCCTGCCAAGTCCCCTGCATTCACAAGTTCTAAGGATTAGGTTGTGAACATCTTGGGGGGAATTATTATCAGCCATGAAGTGTTGTGTTTTCTTCTGAGTGGGTCCAGAAGATAGAATGTGGGTGTAAATTACAGCAGGAGACATTTGGAACTAACATGAGGTAACCTGGTCTCATAGTCTGGACTTTCTACAGCAAGAAAGGAAGGTTGAGGAGGGAACCATCCTGTTCTTTTGTGATCATTCAAGAAAAGGATGAGATGTTTGTTTGGAATGATATAATTCCTGTGTAGCTGAGCAGTTAGGCCAAATCACATCGATGACCTTTGCCAATTTTAAGATTACTGCTTTTAAATGATTAGTTCATTCTGTTTGGTTCGTGGTTTAGGAAATTTAGACAAAGCATGACACATGTGACATGGGGCATGCCCAGTGTAGCAAGCGCATGTCTGCATGTGCTCTTGGCACTCACCACCTGCTCGAGCAGCATACACTTGCAGGGCCTATGATGCTCTGCTCAGCCCAGGTGCCGGCAAGCTGCAGTACCCAGGAGCAGTCCTCGTTGATAACAAAGAGAAATGGGTGATTTAGTAACCCAGTTTCCTGGACCCTGGTGCTGGTGCTGGAGGGATGTTCAGAACAGCTGCCCATGAGGGTCACCTGTCAAAGCCCCTTGCAAGGTCACCCTTCCCTACTCACTTTCCCAGGCCCTGCAGAGCTTCCCTCGACTACCTCCAAAGAAGCTTCTTAACGCTTTGCCTCAGAATCTGCTTCTAGGGGAACCCAGACAATGATCCAACAGAAAGTATGGGGGAAACAAACTCTTCTATGACAACATAGGGTCTGAGTTAGGGTTTCCCCTACAGCAAGTACGATGGCTTCCAACACAGACATTCCCTGCTTGAT